AGGTTTCCGATGTTGGACCTTTGCGATGGAAGAGACGACGTCAACTTGCCAAGGGCGTAGGCACTTGTAGAGATCACAATGACTTCGTTGAATCGAGATGCAAGATGCAGCGTGACGATTCCGCGAGTGGTACCTGCAGCTTGCTGTCCGATACCAGTAACCACTAGCTTCCCATTACGCCTGACGAATCCTAGCTTCCGTACGCAATCCTCCGTGATCATCGATGCCTGTGCACCAGAATCAATAAGTACCCTAGCACGAGCAAACGTACCATCTTCCTTTCGCACCTGCACTACAGCTGTTGGAAACACCGGAATCGATGGTTGCTTCTCAACTGCTGCCATGAGCGACGAAATCGCCTGTTCATCACCGTCAGTTGGTGGATCTTTGGTTTGGTTGCTTGCTGTCGTTAGTGTTTCCTTCACCTTGCTCGCCTTTGGGCACAGAAACGTATGGTGCCGCTGCTTGCAGTCCGGTGTATGGCACACTGATTTCGAGGGACACGATTTCGCTGGATGTGAAGCCCGTAAGCAGTTGAAACACAGCTTCGCCTGTTGTACCAACTCTCTTCTTTCCTGCAGATCCATCTTCTTGAATTCTTCACAAACGAACGTAGCGTGTTTGTAGATTGTAGTTGTCACTAATGTCTTCAATTTTTTCTCACTTACTTCCATTTTCACTTGTTCTTTTTTGTTCACTTCCGCTTTCTTCGAGAATGCTGAGCAGGTTTCCAGCATCTCACACCGCTTCTTCACAAACGTCATAAGCTCCTCAAACGTTGGATGCTCGTTGTCAACAGCTTTCTCCGACCAGGCAGCGCGGGTTTCTTTGTCCAGCTTTTCTAGCATCAAGTAAATCAGCCACGGATCGCGGCCTTGGTATTCCTCTCCTAACGCATCCAACTGTTGGACAACCTCATCCAGTGTCATCACGAGTTTGTTTAGTGATTGCAGCGAAGCTTGTGTCACGACTTGCTGGTGCATGAACTCCCGTACCAACGCAAACACAGTGTAACGCTTCTTGTCGTAGTGACTAATGAGCGTCTCCCACGCATTAGTATAGTTGGCACTAGAGATGGTGAATTTGTTGACTAATTTCTTCGCATCTCCTTCCAGGTAGGAGAAAAGATACTGCATTTTCAAGGAATCCGTGAGATCGTTTCTGTCGTGAATGGTAGACACGTAGATATCCTTGAATGTCATCCACTTCTTGCGGTCTCCATTGAAAGGTGGAATGTTTATTGCTGGCAACTTCACGTTTAGTTGGTGTGAACCATTCGACACCTGACCGCCTCTCGGCATCTCACCATCGTTGAATTGTTCACCACGCTGTACCGGTCCCGCTAGGCTGTTGGTGTTTTTGAAAATCGCCGACTGGTTGATCAACATTTGCCGCTGCGTCTCCATAAGCAGCTTCATAGCTTCCTTCCAGTCTGTAGAATCGGCTACCGTTTGTTGACTCGCTGTCGTTTCGACATCCTCGACCAAATCCTCGAGAATATTTCTCGCCTTGTAGTAGGGTTAAAAAAAACTCCTCCCGCACGTCAAACACTGAAGCAATTACTGTAGGATTCTCCAATTGTTCTTCGATTTCATCTTGAGTAGCACGGAAACTATCCGCTAGTTGCTTGAGCTGGTCCAGTCGATCCATAACCTCGCTCCGTGATAGATTCCGATGATGGAGGTCTTTCAGGACGGAAAGCTCTGCTTTCACCCGAGCAATCAAAGCACTTCTTTTGCTGATCAATTTCTCCATTGTCCAAAATTCCGGTTCTCGAAGGACCAAATGTTTTCGGAATTAGCGGACTGTATTAAAAACAAATTATTTGGATGGAAAAATACCACTTTAATTCTTCGAAAAAGAACAACTTGCTTTTTCTAATTTGTGTTTCTTCTTATGCACGCACTTGTCTACTCTCTTTCGCTTACTTGTTCTTCTACGGATGGTGACCTGAATCCAGTGTTGAATTTAGGCGTTCGATGTTGTTGCTGGGTGGATCGAGGGGTGCGTCGATACTAAAACACTATATTATAATTTTAATTAAATAGCACTGAACTAATTAGGGATAGAATGGCTGCCGATTGTCCGGGTTTTATGTGTTTTCCTACTCACCCGGTGTGACAGATCGATACCTGTCACTCCGCTGTCATTTCGCTGTCGAACCCACTGCAGGGATGTGCTGATCCACGTAGGCACCAACGGTAGGTGCGCTGAGGCCAGTGTGGCCAACAGTTATCTTCTGGGAAATTGTTAAAACTTTAGGAACTTCAAAAAATTCCAGAAAAAAATGTGGGAACTGTTGGGAAGACCAGAAAAGTTCAGGAAAGTCTAAATATTTTAATGGAAGTTCCATGAGCATACGGGTAGTTTCGAAAGCAGTTCCATTTACGTCAGGAAAATTGTGGAAACTTTTAGAAGTTCTGAGGACTTCAGAAAAGTACAGTGAACATCAAGAATGTCAAGAGAATCCCGAGAAAGTCCAGAGAAATTCACGAAAAATTCCGAGAACTTTAGGATACTTCTAGGATTTCCAGAGATGTTCTTTGAATATAAGAAAAATTGCTGGATCTCTATGGATTTTGTCTTACATCTTATATCTGACTGTAGCAAATGACAATCACGTTTCAAGTTACGCTACCTGCCGGAATCTGTTGGAGATTTTTACTATTGCTTAAATTAATGGTGAAGAGTTTCGTTATAATCGCTTCCCGATTCTTATTTGTGGACGATGTGAAAATTGGACCCTGACTGAATTTACGTAAAGTGTACAATGGCAATCCAAACTCCCTGCGCTTTGGTCAGAGAGCGTATAGGGCGTCGTTGTGCCAATTTGGTCGTGGCACATTACGAGTATGAGAGAGTGATTGCAGTTTGCTCAAAAGTGCCTGAGTAAAATGCAAGTATTTTCGATGATTACCCGTAGTTGTTACAGTGAAGATATACACCCATATTCTCGTTTATGTCTGGACGTGTTTGCCATACAGAAACATTTTTATTTGATTTTGTGTGGTGGATGGGTTTCGGGCGTGGACAGGCATATGGGTGATAATATTAAGTTTACGTTAGGATAACGTTGAAATATTGAGAAATGTATCGCTTCAGTTTAAGAAGGACTTCACTTCGCAACCGATGAACCATTCTGACGGCCCACATTGCCGTGCAGGCGCCGTGTGTTGGCAGGGTCCAATATTGAACAGTTTGACGTTTATAAAGTACCATCAGTTAAAACTGTATTTTTGAACTTTATCTCTATACATTCTTAGATGTTTCTTAGTAGATTATCATGTTGGTGTTAGCTGATTCAAAGAGTAAATGGTATTAACATTGAGCTGTCCATAGTTGGGCGTTGTTGAACCTCTGGTACTTGCACGACATTTCATGTGAATACCAAAGTAACCATATAATCACAAAATAGCTTTAGGTGTGGGTTCAGAGTGGTACAACCCTAATAAAAATTGTATGGTTAATTTGCTTAACGACGTGTTCTGGGTATCATCCAAACCATTTATGGAATAGTTCAATGATTTGGGTTATCGTTCGTTTATGGTTATTTTTTATTAGGGAATGTCACTGAGATATGGTTAGTTGGGTATTCAGATGAAACTATTACTTTAAAAAACTAATCCTGGTTGTATCTCTTTTTCGTTTTTTCGTTTGCATGTAACACTGTTTGATATTACTAACCGCACCGAGCCTTCATTCCGGGTGGTGAGCGAACCTGAAGAAGAAGAAGAAGAAGAAGACCATAAACCCCTTCTCGGAACGAGTGTTTTGTTAGTGGACCTGGTCTGCAATTCAAGGTTGGACTCTGTGATGATAAGTATCACATAACAGGTAAAGTAGGCAGCATCATCTTTATCGAAATGTAAGTATTATTGACAATAATCATAACTAGATTATATGCAAATTTATATGATAGGTACCTGGATCAACGTTGTTTAAACATGCGCATTCAATCGAGACGGCTAATATATATATATATATATATCAATTTAAGTCAATATATATTTATATATATATATATATATATATATATATATATTCATTAAAATTACTCACTATAAATTTCATGCATTGTTTCTTCTCATTGTAGACAGCGAATAACGAATAGCGAGCAAGGGCGCTATAACCTAGGCGAATACAGCATTCCCTCCGTATAGGCTACGTCCGCACACCGCTCTCTGTTGTCCTTCGACTGAGGTCGGCTGGATCAATTGAGGGATGGCAGTGGGTGGGCGGTGCCGTCCACGCTTGTACGGAGGGAGGACTGTACGCTCGAACACAAGGGGTAAATACCTGTGTTCCATCCCAGGAGATCGGACAACCAAGGAGTGTACATTAACTTTCTTAGCTCTGTCACTCCCAACGATTTATATAGCCTATTTTCAAATCCTGCATACGGAGCGGTTGGTACGGTATGTCCCCGCTCTTTGATTACCTGTGGATTAAATGTTGACCACTGTCTATACTTATTAAGTAGACATGGTAAACATTCACTTCCACAAAAATTAACTAAACGCTACACAGTAGGCCTGGCCGCTTTATTGTTTGTTTCACATCCTTGATGTGCAGCAGGCATTAATAATGACAAGAAAAATGATAGATGTATCATTTTCCAGGATTCTTTCAAGTACTGGCTGTGTATGTGTATGTGTAGACTAGTGTACAATGGCAATCCAAACTATCCCATCGTATTATAAATAACAGCACAGATACATTACAAACGCCGTAACCATAATAGAACTACAACTGTTCCGGATCATTCTCACTTGTCGGTCCCTTATTTATGGGTTTGTCACCCTTCCTCCTCACTTGTCACAAGCGATAATCTGATTTCATGTTTTCCCCTTATCTCTTCCCCTGCGGCTCCGCACTCTCATCGTCTATGCGACACCGGGAAACGCTTCAAACCCTGCACTCCGCCGGCGGCAACATTGTTTGTACGCTGATGCTGTTGTCTACCGCACCTCTGTGGATCTGTGTGACCGCGCCGAGAACAGCAGTCGTCATTTTTCACAATTACTGTTTACATTGAAGATATTAACGATAATGATCCCGAATTTATCAATCTACCGTACGCGATAACGCTGGACGAATCAACGCCAATTGAGACGGTGGTGTTTAATAGAATTAAGGCAATTGATCGTGATAAGCCAAACACGCCGAATTCCGACATTGAGTACGCGATCGCACCGAAGCAGATCAAGAGCGGCGATTTCCCGTTTCGTCTGGAGAGCTCCCAGAAGCCGAAGCTGATCCTGCAGAGGCCACTCGATTACGACGCCGGACTGCACTCGATGAATGTGCTGGTGATGGCGAGCGATCGTGGGAACCCACCGAGGACGGCTAACGTGACGGTCCGGGTGACGATCCGGGACGTGGACGACATGCCACCGATCTTCACCAGAGCAATTTATCGCACCAAGCTGAAGGAGTCGTTTCCGATTACGGTAATTGAGTGATTGAGTTGTGGTGTGGCCGTGGCGGTTTGTCCGAACAATCATGCATGCGTTTGTATTTAATTTTTTTTATTGATTCTAGGGTAAACCGGTTCATGCACTGATTCACTTTGATCCTCCGATCGGTGCGTTCGATCAGGACTCGTTGAATGCATCGTTGATCTACAGCATTATCGGTGGGAATGAGCGGAAACTATTCTGGATGTCACCGGAGACTGGGATGATTTTCCTACAGAAGGAGATTGATCTCGAGGCGGAGAATCTACCGGACAACACGATGGTGCTGCAGATCGAGGCTAGGCAGACGAATAACCCTTCCAGGAGTGCACTTTCCAGGTAAGATCACCACGAAATATGAGTCAAAGTTTCCTAGAAAAACCTTTTCATGATTTGTCACAGAGTCGAGATGGAGATCATCGACCTGAACGACAACCTACCGGAGTTTGAAGTTGATCTGTACAATATTTCGATCATCGAAAACCTACCGAAAGGTTTCAGCATCCTCCAGGTGAATGCGATCGATCGCGACCAAGGTGAGAATTCCGAGTTTTACTACTACCTGGCGAACGAAGATCCCAAGGGGGCATTCGTGATCGATCACATGTCCGGTTGGATCGTGGTCAACGATGAGACCTTTCTCGACAAGGAAGCACGAAGTTCGTTGCATATGACGGTGAATGCCATGGAACGGATAGAACAGGTCGATCGATCGCAAAACTACGGGACGGTTGAGGTGGAAATCACACTGCTGGACACCAACGACAATACTCCGGAGTTTGAACAGGGAACGCTGTACGAATTTAAAGCGAACTGCAGTGCCGCGATCGGGAGCAAGGTAGGTTCACTTAAAGCAATAGATCCGGATGACATGGGCAACGGACAGGTGCAGTACCATATCAAGAATGTACGGCCAAATTTAGCGATTCCTTTCAAGCTGGACCCAGGTACGGGTGACATAAAGGTTGCGGAACAGATGACGTACGGGAAGATTGCGTTTTTTGTAGAAGCACGAGATCAGCCCCAGAACCCTTCCGAGTCACGGTTCAATGTGGCACTGGTAACGATCGACATTGTTTGTCAATCGATTGAAGAGATCGAGTTCATTGGAGCTCCGTACGAGTTCTGGGTGGGGGCTGATGCTCCCATTGGTGCTTCCGTGGGACAAATCCGAACAACGTTCGACACCAACACAGAAGAAGAGATATTCTTCGATCTGCTTCATTCTTACCCGGAAGGCGTTCCGTTCGCCATCGAAGAACGATCCGGGATTGTGACCGTGATCGAAGGTTTGGACAAGTTCGATCGCCGCTGCTACGAGTTTGAAACGGTTGTGTCTTATCTACCAAATGCAGATGGAAAGATCGTCGACCAACTAACTCCCGAGGCGTACAACAGTCTGGAGAAGATCATCGTTACGAACGTCACGATTCACGTCATCAAAAACAACTTTATGCTGCTCAGAGGGACAAACTCAACTCCGATTGAGTTCAAGATCAAGGAGAACAAACCCAATGCGATCATCGGTCAGCTCAAGTTTCAGGACTTCCAAGAGCAATGCGAAGTGGACGAGAATGGTTTACCTTCGTTGATTTCAGTGCGAGGCGATCGAAACCGTGGTGATCGGCAGGTGTTCAACCTCAATGGAAAAAACCGAACTCGCTTCGGTCGGAGATTCATCCGGGAAGCGAATCCAGATTTCATCCAGTTGTATCCCCTGGTTGCATTCGATGCCATGTATACTACCAACATGACACGCAAAGCTCGCAACCTTAGGAATTCTCGAACTCCGACCAGTGGTGTCCAGTACTCCTTGATCAACAGCTACGACGTGTTGGACACCATCCGTCTCACCAACGATGGCAAACTGATGACAGTGAAGGGTCTCGATCGGGAGAAGCAAGACACAATCAGGGTAACCATCATTGCCGAGTACTTTTACAAGCACCGAACCTTCGCCGGTATCTACCAGGTGGTGATCCTCGTGGAAGACGAAAACGATAACCCACCAAAGTTCAATCAACCCTTCTATCTGGGAGTGATCGCGGAAAACTCCCCCATTGGGACGGAGATCGTTCTGAACAACCCGATCATCATCACCGATCAGGACATTGGAGTCAACTCCGAGTATGATCTGATCCTGTCGGGTGAATCGAATTCCTTCGCGGCTCAGTTCTCCAACTCCACCCTGTCCAACTACAACAAAACCGTGGCTCACATCTTCAGGAACCTACAGATTGCGAATGTCGATTCGAGCGAGGTACTGAATCGGCGCGTAGATTTCCGTTCCAAACCGACCGAAGGGATTAACGGGTCGACTCCGCATTACAACATTCTTTTCATGGGACCGAACAAGCTCGATCGCGAAGAGATCGACAGTCTGCACCTCAAAATGATGGCCACTGACCGGGACAGTTTGACTTCGGAAGTAGAACTGAGGATTTTGATACTGGACGTGAACGATAACCCACCGATCTTTGACAAGATCGCGATATTCCGGAAGAGCAAATGCGAGATGTTGGAGAATACTAGCGATCTTGAGCTGTTTTACTTGGATGAACTGGAGACGGAAGTTCTCCCGGGATTTATGGAGATGGGAAAAGAGTCAGCTCGATTAAGCTACGGGGTGGACAGTTTGTTTGAAATGGTTCAATCCGCACCCTATGCCGGGATGCCAAGGCTTTTGGACGGGCAGCTGATGATGGGGAATCGATCGGCGACGATGAAGAGGAAAGTGTTCAAGCCTAAGGGTAGAGTCAGAGCAGGTGCGAGGGTTACCAGGGCGATCAGTAAGAAACCGGGATTGAGGTTTAGTCTTCCGGAGAACGTTGAGATTGGGAAGGTGATCCTGAAGCTGACGGCGAGTGATGAAGACTTTGACAAAAATTCCAAGGTGATCTATGAAATTGTGAATCAGGAAGAGAGCCCTTCGAACAACCGAAGCAGCTATTTCAAGGTTGATCGAAATTCTGGTGAGCTGAAGGCAGTGAAGCGATTGCCCCCGGAGACGGAGATCAAGCTGAACATTTCAGCCAAAGACGTTGGAGGACTGACGGACGTGATCAGTTTGGAGTTCAAGATCTACGATGTGAATGACAATTCTCCGGTTTTCGAACAGCAGTGGTACACGTTCAAAGTGGAAGAAGGTAGTTATCCGATAACTGGCAAAATGATCGGCCTGGTGAAAGCAACGGATGAAGACTTGGGTATGAATGGAAATGTTTCCTATCTTCTGCTGGCGGAAGATGATGCGAAGATTCCGTTTTCCATCGCTCCACTGGATGGAACGATTCGAGTTTCTGGCGAGATTGACCGCGAATCAATTTCGTCCTACCACTTCAAGGTTCTGGCATCCGATAACAATTTCGATTTGAAGCTTTCGGCCATGGTGGATGTCGAGGTGATTGTGCTGGACAAGAATGACAACAGCCCCGAATTCACCACCTACGATGAGCTGCACTACGATCGCAGCAGCATAAAAAGACTTCCGGTGTACGTGTCATACATCAACGTCAACTCCAAGCCAGGATCCTTCGTCAAGCAGGTTCAAGCAAAAGACAACGATTTCAAGGAGAACGGAAATGGATTGGTGATCTACTCTCTGACGGGTCAAAGTGATCTACTCCAGTTCTCCATCGATGCCAAGGACGGAGTAATCACCACGGCATCCAAGTTCATTCAACCGACGAGTCGGAAGACCTACCAGCACATTAACGTAACAGTTGTAGCGTCCGATTTTGGAACGCCTCCGCGATCAAGCAATGCCTTGTTGATCGTCAATCTTCAGGGCGATCCTGAGCGATCGAGTGCAGTAGAAGATCGGATTCCGCTATTTCCTTACAAATACTACGAACTGGAGTTGCGGGAAAACGAACATACTCCTCGGATTGCGCTGAACATTACGCTGAACAAGAAATACGCCAAAGATAGCTTCCGATGGACGATTGTAAACGATGAATACGGAGACAGGTTCAAGATCGATGAAAAGAACGGATCACTTTGGTTGCTGCAGCCGTTGGATCGGGAGGAACAGGATTCGTACGAGATCAAGATCAAGGTGGATAAGGTCAAGTCTCGAGAAAGTCGAAACATTCCAAGCGTACTGTACGCGTTGGAGAATCCAGTCAGAAAGAGGACCCACAAGCTGCACGATAACGAAGTGGAGATCTTGATCAAAGTAATGGACGTCAACGATAATGCACCGATCTTCAAGGAAAACGATGGACCGATCATTGCCGTCGTTCCTGACCGAGCCAACTACGGGTACTCCGTGCTGAAAGTTGAGGTAGGATATTTCCAGTTTTGTAAGAAAAAGAACTTCACTGATTCATTCTGAGTTATTTTCAGGCCCATGACGAGGACGCCGGAAGCAACGGGGAAATTCGCTACTCGCTACTTAACGAACCCGCAAGATTGTTCGATGTGGATGCCTTGACGGGTCAGATTCGCCTACTCAGTTCGCTGGCCAACTACCAGGACCGCGTTTTTGGGTTCGATGTCAAGGCAACGGACCGAGTAGGCGCTGACGATGGTCAATCGACGATTGCCAACGTGTTCGTTTACGTGCTGAATTCACACCAGGAGGTCTGCTTGATTATGGCCGGATTTCCGGTGGAGGTGGAAAGGCAGATGAATATGATTACGGCCAGCTTGAGTCTTGCCACCGGGTACGACGTGCGGATACGTGCCTTGGAAAGCAACGACAAAGTGGACGATGCGTGAGTATTGCGAGGAATTAGGTGTTTTGTCGGATTAAGTAATGCAATGCAATTCATTTCAGCACAAATTTGTACCTGTATGCCATCGATCGGAAGTCCAATTCCGTGGTGGAAATGGCAGAACTGCAGAGGTTAGTACAAGCAATCATCTCCCAGCCATCAGTAATTGCTCACGTGTATGGTAATTCCCCTAATGCAGGTCGCTCGCATCGCTCGATATGGCAAATTTGAAGCCAAATTTGCCCATCATCGAACTGACGGAGCTGTCGTCGAATGCGCTGGAACCGCATCCGTACGATGCCGGAATGAAGGGCATCGAACTGGCCACGGTCGTCATCGGGGGACTCATCTTTGCCGGTGGTACGGCTACGGCCCTGTGCATAGCCTGCGCTCGATATCGACGGTGAGTATTTTCATCTTTCATGCTATTTTCTTGCGTAGAAGTAAAGTTTCATACCAGTAGGCTGCGGTTAGGGTGAATTTAGTTCATTCGTAATGTTTCATCAAAGTAGGTCATTTATTGCATGCAAGTTTGTTGCACACTACACGGTCGTTCAAACTCGCTCAGAGAAAGTGGGTAGCTTTTACTCAGATGGAGGAGAAATTATCTCAGCGCTGAGTAACCTACGTTTTTAGAACATTTCTGTTTCATCTAAGTAGAAGTTACACTCTCTCTCTCTTTCTCTGAGTGAGATTGAACGGCTTTGTAAATTGAGTATGTGATCATCCGTGATTAAAATAACACATTTGGAAAAACTTCATTTAGATTAGTAATTTAATGAAAATTAATCCATTTAATAATATCAAACAAATTTCATTAAACCACATCGCAAGTCATTAACGTTCTGATTTAATTTTCGTTTCTTTTCTAGTGCATTGTATAGCAACTATCGATATTGATCACGTTGCTCTTGTGAGCTAGTAGAAAATACACCATGCACGCTTAGTCATCGTCCTCATACTCATCCTAACAATTAGCCAATAAGTTGTAGGAAGTAACTAATATTTAAAAACAAATAGCAACTACAATAAGAGCTTTATTCTATTAGGATAAGGGATTTATTTTACTGTACACACATAACAGATTTCAGTTATTTGTATTCCTCTCGAATGAAGATTCGAACTTTGGGCTTGATACATGCCATCAACTTCTGTCAACCTCACCGTCTGCTTTTTTTTCCAGTATCAGGCCATTAAAATAGTATCCTTAGCCATTTTTCCACTCTTCTTCAGTTTAGCATATATGAAGCTGTTTGAAGTCCAATTTGACATACATCCATAAGGATGGATCCGTTGAATTTGGTCAGCACCTGATCATACAGCTTTCAGGCCCGCGTTTTGACCGTAGTGTTTTGCTTTAAGGACCGGTTCGGTTGCTTAATAGCCCGATACTTAATGAAACCTTCCCGTATGCGTATATTCCGAACTGTGCTGCGAACAGCATCGAGTTTGTTGGCCATATCCACGTCCAAAAGTTCGGGATTCGCTATAAAAGCCTTCATGACGTTCTGATGCAGTTTTCGGTCCACTGTACCGCTTCGACGCCTTCAGCCACTAGGAGCGCTGCGTGCCGATTCTAAATTGTTTCTATGCTTAATAGAAACTAAGCAATCGTTTCAGTCTCTGGTGGTGAATACGGGAACCTTCAAAAGAACGAAAAGGCCTGAAGCTTTTGCCATGAAGCATAGGAAGAAGAGAATATTTTCACCTTTCCTGATTAACGTATCCATCGCAGGTGCATGAAATCGTCATCCACGTGGAATATTTTGCTATCTGTATCGATTTTGCAGTGATCCGGCTGATGTTTCCGCATATGTTTGATGAGAAAAATTAAGATTCATAAACTGCCCCTGAGGTTATGATATTCCGGGGTTTCGGGCTTCATTTCGTGCATTCATTTACATTCATTTGCGTCTAACTTTTTTCATCAACAGAATACCGTAAAATTATGTATGAAACTTTTGTAGATTTTGATATTAACTTCAACTTTTGTCAATAATCAAAATCTGAATCTCTTATACATGACGAACAAGAGCTGGCAGAACATGCCATTGTTTTTCAGTGAATGCAATTTACATTATCGTTCTGATTCATCATGCATAAGAAATAATGATTTGAGTTGTTTACAAAAGATGTAGCTAATATCAAAGCCTACAAAAGCTTCAAACACTATTTTTCGGAATTCTGTTGATGAAAAAAGTTAGAGGCAAATGAATGTAAATGAATGCACGAAATAACGGCGCCGGTGGTGTAGTGGTAAGCGTGATTACCTCTCACCCCAGCAAGCCTGGGTTCAATCCCAGTCGGCGCCGCCGGGATGTTCTGAGGCATAACATCTCTGATCACGCCTTCCTTCGGATGGGAAGTAAAGCCGTTGGTCCCCGGTTCATGAGTTGATGGGTCGATAGGTAGGGTCCAGGTGTGGGAGCTGCCTTCCTGGCACGTCGGTAGCATTGGTGCTCAGCACGGAAAACAAGATCGACGGAAAAAACAAACCAAAGGAAAAAAAAAAAAAAGAATGCACGAAATGAATGTAAATGATTTTCCATCTCTGAATAAGACCACTTCCGATGGAAATTTGCAATATGTGCAATAAAATATGCATTATTTTGAGCTTTGAAAATCATCATTATAAACAAACGGTTTGGATGACATTTTCTCTCAAAATTAACAAGCACATCAAAAGTGCCAATCTTAGGGCATCTTTAGCGGCGGTCCAATTGGCTGGTTTGGTCTTAATTTTTGGATTAGATAGAGACCAGGATGGCAAATGTTATTCTCAATCTCAATGAAAGATCTCACGCGATATTTACAGAGATACATCTGTCACTATCATCGGATGAGAAAACGATGATAGAGATTTTTTTTCAAAATCTCATCGAATTGTTTGTCATGACAGAACGTGACAGTGTTGTGATCATCGTAATATCTAGCTCATTCAACTTCTGCAATGAACCCCTTATCAACGCCCGGATAGGCTCGATAGACTGGACGACGCTTTTGACTGATTGTGACGTTGACGATGCTGTTTTCCGGTTTTATGGTGCCATTTTCGATATCATCCACGAATATACTCCTATTCGACGACATTGCCTCCGTGTTCACTACAATCAACCATGATGGACCACGGAACTTAGGAACCTCCGAAACAGGTTACGGAAAGCAAGGAAACGTCTTTTCAAACAACGGACTGAGGAAAACAGGCGATTACTTCACGACATGGAGGAGCACTACACCAGCCGGTTGAACATTTTCCATGAATATGTATTGCGCATTGAGTCGGAGGCAAAGCGGGATCCATCGTCTTTTTGGACCTACGTGAAGAAACTTAGGCGGAATGGCGGTATACCACTCGATGTGTCCTATAAAGAAGCTCATGCTGACTCCGCGGAAGAAGCTTCTGATCTCTTCGCAAAATTCTTCAAGGATGTTTTTTCGACTACCCCTCTCGCTCATTGTCCGGATGATCGTCGTGACTGGATGAGCAGCATAGCTCATTACAACTTGCATTTACCGCAGTTGGATGTATCTGTTTAAGAGGTGATGAAAGTTATTTCATCTGTAGATCCTTCTAAAGGCCCTCCCTAATAAAAAATAACCATAAACGAACGATAACCCAAATCATTGAACTATTCCACAAATGGTTTGGATGATACCCAGAACACGTCGTTAAGCAAATTAACCATACAATTTTTATTAGGGCTGGTCCAGACTGTTTGCCGCCATCGTTCATCAAGAAATATTCTGCATCTCTCGCTTCACCTGTGTCGATTATCTTCAATCGTTCGCTAGTTAGTGGTGTTTTCCCCACAATGTGGAAGGTTGCGTCCATCACACCTATTCACAAAAACGTTGAAAATTATCGCGGAATTTCGATTCTAAGCTGCCTCCCAAAAGCTCTGGAGTTGATCGTATATCAAGCGGTTAGGCCAATAATTACCGAACATCAGCACGGCTTCGTGACGAAACGCTCTACAACAACCAACTTAATGGTGTTTGTCAACTCACTGATCAACTCTATTGAAAAACGACGACAAGTTTATGCGATCTACGTGGACTTCAGTAAGGCGTTCGATAGGGTTCCACATGTGCTTGCAGTGGACAAAATGAGGTGTATACTGCCCATAATCGCATATCAGTCCCATATGAATAGCAAATCAAGCAAAGATGGGACTGATATGTGATTATGGGTAGTATAGGATTACCTAATTGGGCCACGAAGTGGTTAAAGTCTTACTTAACTGACCGCTCAGCCTATGTGAGCATTAACGGTGTTAATTCGCCTAGTTTCGAGATACCCTCTGGTGTTCCCCAAGGTAGCCATTTAGGGCCTTTAATTTTCATCCTGTTCGTGAACGATCTGTGTAGTCGACTGTGTTCTTCGAAACTTATGTTCACCGATGACTTAAAGATCTTTCGTACAATTAAGTCAAGACTTGACTGTTGCGCACTCCAGAAGGATATTGATTCCCTTTTGCGCTGGTGTACATTGAACGGTATGCAGGTTAATGTCACAAAATGCTGCGCAATATCTTTTAGCCGTTCACGCGAGCCCTTACGACATGACTATAGGATAGGACTCAGTAGTTTGCTCTTCGTTTCTTCAGTTAAGGATTTGGGTGTTATCATCGTCTCTAAAGTCAGATTCAATGAGCACATCTCCATGATAACTGCTAAAGCATTCGCCACATTAGGTTTCTTGAAACGAAACACAAACGCATTCCGGACATCTACGCGCTGAAATCACTATACTGTGCTCTCGTCCGCAGTCTTCTAGAGTATGCTGTTGTTGTGGGGGCACCCTTTCACGCTATTCAAACTAACAAAATCGAAGCCATTCAGCGAAACTTCGTAAGATGCGCTTTACGTGTTCTGCCCTGGAACGATTCGGTAAATTTGCCGCCTTACGAAGAACGGTGCAGGTTGATTGACCTGGACACGTTGGCAGCAAGGAGGAAACTACTTCAGCGACTCTTCGTGTTTAGATTGCTTAACGGTGACGTGGATCACAACTCTCTTGTGAGCCAAATCTACATCAATGCTCTTCAAAGAGTTCTACGTAGTTACACGCTTCTGTGGCAACCTACCCATCGGACCAACTATGGATTCAACGAACCGTGGACTTTGTGCTGTCGTGTGTTTAATGAAACGTTTGATGTATATGATTTTAACATTAGTAAGTCTACTTACATACATAGAATTCGACACCTAGCCTAGAAAATATCTGTACAAAATTATGTTGAAGATTTAATAAAATAAATAAAATAAATAAATTACCGATGATATGTAAATATGTTCAAACATCCTTACAAACAATTAAATTGACTGCAAGTCGCTAAACCGTAAATCGAAGACTGGCTACTTGGCCAGAATCCAAGCGACAGATACAGTAGCGTTGTACAT